GGATTTGGCTTGACATTCACAAGCAGAGTGCCAGGGCATTCTGTTCAAATTTTGCTCCAAACAAAGTATCTACATCATGGTGGGCAAAGTGAAGTTTTACAGATGTTGCTGAACTGCAACTTCGAGAATTTCTCCCCCCTGGTTAAGCTGGCCAGGGTTGATGGGAATGAGGTCTGCATGGTAGTAATTAAAAATATACATATTTGGAGGAGTGCAATTTGTTCACCCCTGATTAAAACCAAACAGAATGAACAGGGAAACAGGGAGGCCATCCCTCCCTGGCCAGCTGCCTTGGTAGAGCAGGCCGGGCCCCTGGCTGCTCGCCCCCGGATACACAAAACCAGCCGGGGGCCGGGAGGCTAGAGCAGGCCGGGCCCCTGGCCGCTCACCCCCAGCTGCAAGGAGCCAGCAGAGTGCCCAGAGGATTCGGACCGGTAAGTCCTTTTTTAAAAAAAAATTTGGGTGGGTTTTGGAGGCTGGGTTTGGACTGGGGGGGTTATGTTTGTGGTTTGTATGTGTGTGTGTGTGGTTTTTTTTCACGGCGTTTTCGCCGCGCTTCGGCTGTGTGAAAATGGGGGCTTTGGTCCTCCCAAAGGCCCCATTTTCACACAGCTGATCGGCAGTTCCAAAATGGCCGCCACAACCATTTTCGCTGCCCTCGCTTACCGAGGGCGCGAAAATGGCCACCCCTATGGAGGAACATCGCTGAACGGTGAGTTTATCCCCCATAGGAACGCATTAAACGAATGGGATTTTCCATTCCGTTTAGCGATGTTTCCACATAGCGACGATTAATCCAGAATGGATTAACGTCGCTATGCGAGGCACCACTGTATCTGGGTTGTCCAGGACATCCAGATCTTTCAGGTATAATTCCTCTGTATATTCTTGCCATCTCTTATTGATGTCTTCTGCTCCTATTAGGTCCCTGCCATTTTTGTCCTTTATCATGTCCATCTTTCCACAAAATGTTCCTTTAATATCCCCAATCTTCTTTAACAGATCTCTTGTTTTTCCTTTTCTATTATTATTTTCTATTATTTTATTTCTTTGCACTGTTCATTTAAGAAGGCCCTCTTGTCTCCCTTGCATTTTGTTTCCCTTCCCTTCTCTGCTATTTGTAAGGCCTCATTGGACAGCCACTTTGCTTTCTTGCATTCCCTTTTCTTTGGGATGGTTTTTGTTGCTGCTTCCTGTACAATGTTACAAGCTGCCATCCATAGTTCTTTCAGGCACTCTGTCTACCAAATCTAGTTCCTAGCGTAGTGGTTTTTCCTACTTCCTTCAGTTTAAGCTTGAATTTCGCTATAAGAAGCTAATGATCAGAGCCACAATCAGCTCCACGTCTTGTTTTTGCTGACTGTATAGAGCTTCTCCATCTTTGGCTACAAAAATATAATCAGTCTGATTTCGGTACTGCCCATCTTTTCGGCTTTGGCCCAACCACTTCATTAGCACTGGAGCTACTTCTACTTGTCCTCCACTCTTCCTCAGTAGCATGTTGGACGCCTTCCGACCTGAGGGTCCCATCTTCCAGTGTCATATCTTCTAGCTTTTTGTTTCTGTTCATGGGGTTTTCTTGGCAAAGATACTGGAGTGGCTTGCCAATTCCTGCTCCAGGTGGATCACGTTTAGTCACCTGTCTGTCTTGGGTGTCCCTGCACAGTATAGCCCATAGCTTCTATGAATTCCTCAAGCCCCTTCACCATGACAAGGCAGCAATCCACGAAGGAGCCTCTTCTGAATACAGTGGTGCCTCGCTTAACGGGTGCCCCGTTTAACGAGGAATTCACTTAACGAAGAAGATTTTGCGATCGCTTTTGCGATCGCATAACGTTGTTTCCTATGGGGAAAAATCGCTTTGCGATTTTTCCCCATAGGCTCCATTTCCCCCAGCTGACAGGAGGGGCTTCTTCCGAATCTCCCGCCAGTCAGCTGGGGGAAAAAGTCGGAGGGCGTTCGGCAGGAGGGGAAAGGACCCTTCCTTTCCCCTCCTGGCCGATCGCTGGCACAGACGCCCCTGCGCGCTCGGCAGGAGGGGAAAGGAGGCTTC